TGTACTACAATGGCCCCCACAGTCACCAGATCTCAACCCAATAGAGCATCTTTGGGATGTGATGGAACGGGAGCTTCGTGCCCTGGATGTGCATCCCACAAATCTCCATCAACTGCAATGTGGGGTTAGTGTATCTGGGGGCTGGCGTTTTGTGTGTCAGCTGTGTGAGTTCCGTGTGGATTGGTGTGAGTTTTTTTTTGTTTTTTTTTGTTTTACGGGGCTCCTGCGCTGGCCACCTATTCCCCACTGTATCTGGCTCCTAGCTCCGTTTTGGTGTCATTGGAAGGAAGTTTGTGTGCTTTTGCTGTGTTTTTAGTTCGTGTAATAAAACCATTTTAAGTGGTATTGCATCTCGAGCCTGCCTGGGCGTATATCGAACCTGGGTGCCTTATCATATTAGAGGAGAATTAGTTATTTCCTTTGGTGAAATTCCCAGGGTGGCGTAGCCTAGCATGTTACCTCTCCTTTTTGGGGCAGTGAAAAGGATGATTGGTATTTAACGAGTCTTTACGAGCCGTAAAAACAGAGTAATATCATTATTATCTATCAGATTATTGCTTACATTATATGATTACTTACATTACATGATATGTGCTTCCAGCAAAGTGTGGGACTCTTCAGTACAGCCTTAGCCGAAGCTCTAATTCGACACAAAAGGTCCTGGATCATTGCTTATTTTCAAATCGAGGAGGAACATCCTGGTCCGTACCCAATAGAGCTTGGCGCTGTGAGTATACATGCAAACACATAATCTACCTTTAGCTTTTGCATTTATATCGATGTGAAAATTGTGAATTTTTAAAAGTTTAATATTAGAATTCCAAAATTATTCACTTTTAACAATTTTAGAATATTTTCTTATTATATTAAAAAAACACTCAAATTAAGGAGAACTAATTAGAGTACTACAGTTTGACAATTTACAGCCAACACTTGACATGTATTGTAAACCCATTGCAGGTTGCAGAAGTAGATGCTTATCATGTCCTCAAAGTCTACGGGAAGGGAGTTGATGAAGAACCCCGACATGTTTTTGATATAGACAGAAAGACTGGAATTGTGAATGTATATAAAAAAATTGATTATGAAACACATAAAAAATTCTTGGTAAGTAATCTATAGTTTAGACACATGTATGAACAATGTTTGATGTTGAATATTAAAATTGTAAACTACTTCCCTAGCTCATCTTCGAAATCAACAACAAAACCAGTCATGTCGAGACCAGGCTGGCAATTGACATAGTAGTAAAAAACATAAACGACAACAGTCCACAATTTCCGGAGAACACATTTACAATCACAGTAAACGAATCCACTCACCAAGGTAAAAAAAAGAAAACATCCAGTTTTGTCTAATTTATTTTTGTGTTTGCCCACTTGCATCACATTTTAAAATTAAGTACAAATGAACAATTTGCCCAGCAAATACATTTACCTTTGTCAACAGGAACATACTTAACTACTGTAACAGCCACAGACAGAGATGAACCTGGCATTTTCCTAGAGAATTACAGAATCGCCTCGCAGGTGCCGAAGTCACAGGACATGGAGTTCCTGATCGGGAGCCATGGTCAGATATCCTTCAGGGGATGTCTTAACTACCAGGTACATTTACATTAATCATGTTTTCCGAGAGTTTGTGGAGAAGTAGCTCAATAATTCAAAGATTAATAATAATGTGTAAGCATATTGTTTCCAAATAAACTCTTTAGGAAGTTGAAAAGTACACCATCGTGGTTGAGGCCGAGGACCATGGAAAGCCAAGTCTGACGGGCACATGTACAGTGACCATCCAAATCGAGGACCAGAACAATCACCTTCCATTCATTACAGGTTATACAGTAAGGAGAGTTTGTAAGTTTTGCTTAGGTATCGCTGATTTCGTAGGCTATGTAATCTTATTAAATTGCAAACGACTGCACAAGACAAGCATGTGAAGTGTTTGCTGTTAAGTGTAATTACATGAAAAATGTTATGAGGTACATTTTTTGAATTTTTTGGGGAAAGTTAGGCTTACTGTATGAAACTATTACTAATATGAAACTAATAGGAGTGACCTAGAAGTAACTGTCATCAGGTGACGTATCCAGTCAAATTCAGCTGTTTAAAAATAACCTCTGGTATGACATTTCCGCATGCTTTTCGTATACACAAGTAATCCAGAATTTATTTAATTCTATTGCAAAAATTTAGTACATAAAACTTAGTACATTAACAATTTGAAATGTTGCACAGACGTTATTAATCAAATGTAAAATAGCCAGCATAATTTAAAACTACTACTAGTCAAAATAATAATAACAATAATAATAATAGTTATTTATTATTATTCTTATTATACATCCATAGGCCTGCATACTCAAATGGTGTAACAGCAAACAAAAATCATGTTTTTGTAAATTGGTACAAAACTTGGTATTGGATTTTCGGTTTGTTGCAATTTTAGTAGCTTAAAGTAGGGAAAACATAATTTGTTTTGAAATTATTATCTGAGGGATAGCTAACATGGATTTTGGAGAGGTAGATCCTGTTTAACTAATCTACTTGAGTTCTTAGAGGAAGCTGCAAGAGAAATTACTCACAAAAAGGCCTACGATGTGATCTACTTAGATTTCCAGAAGGCCTTTGATGTTGTCCCCCACAAACGGCTCCTGCTTAAGCTCAAACTGCAGGGATTTTAGGAACTGTAGCATTTTGGATTGAAAACTGGTTAACAAACAGGAAGCAGCGAGTAGTTATTAGAGGCACAATGTCACAGTGGGCCTGTGTTCATAGTGGGGTACCACAGGGTTCAATTTTAGGACCACTGTTGTTCCTAATTTACATTAACGATAATGACACCAATACATACAGTAAACTGTTTAGATTTGCAGATGACACCAAGGTGGGTGGTGTAGCAGATACTGAACTAGCAGCACAGAGGCTACAACGGGATCTTGATTTAATTAGCGACTGGGCTGATACAGTACCTGCCATATTAAATGTAGATAAATGTAAGGTAATCCATGCAGGGAGCAGAAATATAAAGTACAGATATTTTATGGGTTCCACTGAAATAAAGGTAGCTGTTTATGAGAAAGATCTTGGTGTGTATGTTGATGCTTCCATGTCCCACTCTCGCAATTAAAAAGTTCAATAGCATGTTCGGTTACATCTCTAAGTGTGTGAAGCTTAAGTCAAGGGAGGTGATGCTACGATCATACAATTCCTTGGTAAGACGCCACCTAGAATATTGTGTGCAGGTTTGGTCACCATACCTTAAAAAGGACATTGCTGCCTTGGAAAGGGTTCAACGTAAGGCTACAAGAATGATTCCTGGTCTTAGAGGAATGTCTTATGAGGAGAGGTTAGGAGAGGTTAACTGAGCTGAATCTGTTTAGCCTCGAGCAAAAGAGATTAAAGGGCGACCTGATCCAGGTATATAAGATTCTAACAGGTCTGGATGCTGTTCAGCCAAATGGCTACTTCAGTATTAGTTTAAATACTAGAACACGTAGCCATAGGTGGAAATTAGCGGGAGAACATTTTAAAATGGATTTGAAAAAGTACTTCTTTACACAGCGTGTAGTTAGAGTAAGGAATTGTCTTTCTGTTAGTGTAGTGCAAGCTAAAACCCTTGGTTCCTTTAAATCAGCGCTAGATACGGTATTAACAACTCTGAGCTATTAGTTGAGTTCTCCCCAAACAAGCTTGATGGGCTGAATGGCCCCTTAGATTCAGTGAAAGGAACTCTTAAGGCTACGGCATTCAAAGCTATTTTGGACAATTCTGTGGTCCCAGCTTTGTGGGAACAGTTTGGGGATGGCCCTTTCCTGTTCCACCAGTGCACAAAGCAAGGTCCATAAAGACATGGGTGAGCAAGTCTGGTAGAAAACCTTTGGGGTGAATTAGAGCGGAGACTGCGAGCCAGGCCTTCTCGTCCAACATCAGTGCATGACCTCACAAATGCTCTCCTTGAATCGTCAAGAATTCCCATAAACACACTCCTAATCCTTGTGGACAGCCTTCCTAGAAGAGGTGAAGCTGTTATAGCTGGAAAGGGTGGGCCAAATCCATATTAAAGCCTATGTATTAAGAATGGGATGTCATTAAAGTTCATGTATGTGTAAAGGCAGGTGTCCCAATACTTTTGGCAGTATATAGTGTACATAATTCTTATGCTTTCATGAGTTCGTACTGTAAGTATAGATTGTGTAAATCAGAATGTCTGATGAATCTGAATAAAACTATATATTTTGTATTATTTGTTACAGATTTCCACAAAGAACCTTTTTACTGATTAGGTACTTGGGAGGGAGTGAAAACCAAACCCTGATAATAATACAATATTTAGTTGTAAACTAATATGGATTGAGGTTTTACTGCGGCTTTACTATCAAGGAGATCCTAACCTGGCATTCATGTATCAGGGTATAGGAAGGGTGAAAGAGAATGTAATCAACTCAGCCCCATTCCGAATTCATGTGAAAGACAAGGACAAAAGGAACTCTGCTGCGTGGAGGGCTAAATACAGCGTACACGGAGATGATGGAGAACACTTCAGGATTGAGACTGACCCAGAAACCAATGATGGAATCCTCTCTGTCATTAAGGTCAGTTGTGCTTCATTTCCTTCCTACACCTTGACAATACAAATAAGAACATTTTTTTACAAATTTACAAATGAGACGAGGCCATTCGGCCCATCAAGCTAGTTTGGGGAGAACTCAACTAATAGCTTGTTAAATAGATTGTTAAAGTCTAGCTCTGATTTAAAGGACCCCAGGGTTTTAGCTTGCACTACACCAGTGGTTCCCAAACTTTCTCTGCAGGGCCCCCCTTTTATAGATAGGAACATTATTGAGCCCCCCATTCAA